TTTTTTGAGTGGGAGGCTCACTCTGTCACCCAGGCTGGAGTGCAGTCACATGCTCACGACTACAGCAGCCTCAACCTGCTGGGCTTAGGCAGTCCTCCCGCCTCAGCCTCCCGAGTAGCTGGAACTACAACCGTGTGCAACCATGCCCGGCTAATTGTTTTATTGACTTTAGAGACGAGGTCTTGCCAAGTTGCCCAAGCTGGTCTCGACCCCCTGGGCTCAGGCAGGACTCTCGCCTCTGCCTCCCAAAGAGCTGGGATGACAGGCATGAACCACTGTGTCTGGCTCCACTTTTTATAATAAAACGTTAGTTGAGGAGAAAAACTCTAAAAACCAATAATAAATACATTATTCCAAAATTAGTTTTGATTCTAAGATTAACATACATAGAGTATATAAAACATATGCGTATTTTAATTAATCATAATAAAGTTAAAGCCTGTGCAACACCTACATTCGGACATCATCCCTGCTTGAGGAGCTTCCTGGCTCTCCCTGCCTCCACAATGCCCTCTGGACTGCGTTCCCATCCTTCCCATCCTTCTGCCAAAGTGGTATCCAACCCACGAAACTATGGGTACCAGATACTATGATACTGGACACTATGATTCTATGATACCAGATACTATGTTTCTTTGTCATTTTAGTACATATGTATACATCCCTGCAAAACAATATTGTTTAGTTTTACTTGTTTGGGGCTTCACGTAAATGGAACTGTACTATCTTCATTTTCCTGTGATTCACCTCCCCCCACAAAGTGTATATTTTTAGATTCATCTACGATCATGCACGTAGCTGCAGTTTATTTTCCTGGCTGAATGATATTCTATCACATGAATACACCAAGTTTAGATGTTGCACTTTTGGCTTTTATAAGCAGTGATGATCTCTGTGTACGTATGCCTGTCTGTGGGTGGACACCTGCAAGGTGGCTTGTAAGGTATGCTCATGCTCAGCGTAGCAGGCGGCGGCAACACATTTCCAGTGAGACTGTGCCAGGAGACGCTCCCACCAGCGTCCTGCAAGAGCGCTGCTGCTCACACCTTTCCCAGTGCACAACCCTGCCAGGCCTTTCAACTTCTATCTGAGGAACATCCCTTGTTTTAACAGGCTTTTTCCTGTGAATAATGAACTTAATAATGACCGGAGCACCTCTCGTTGTTTACTGTCATTTCACTTCTTTTGTTGTGAAGTTCCCATTCAAGTCTTTTTTTCTCTCCTTTTTCTACTGGGTTGTCTTTTTTCTTATTAATTTATGGTTCTTTACATATTTTGAGCGAGTTCTTTATTTCTGTTATATTTTCTGTCACCGAAGTTGCAATTTTAATATAGTCAGATTTATTAAGTTTTCCCTCTATGGATTATGTTTCCTGTGCTCTACTTAAGAAATCTTTCCTGTACGATGTCCACATGTATACCTAATCCTGAATTGTACCCTTATGTTATCTTCTAAAAGCTTTATATATTCTCTTTCACACTTAATCTTTAATAAACTCGGAACTGATATTTATATATGATATGTGGTAGTTCAACTTGACTTCTATTTAGTATTATTCCAATATGGAGTAACAAATAGCTTGTCTGAAAAAAATTCCTGAAGTTCTCCATGCCCTTCCTGGCAATCTGCTATCTGTAATCCAAGATCAGGTCTTCCCCAAGTAAGAGAAACTGCACCTTAATCCAACTTCCTATGACAGCAAGAGCACCTTCCTCCCACAAAAAGAATGAAACCTCTCACGCCGAAACCCTAATTACATGCTTATTAGGCAGGTTTCTGTTATCCCACAGCTGATGCTTTTTTCTTTTTAATTTTGCCCCATCTTTTTGTTTTTTCTCTTGGTGTTCCACTTTGAGAAACTTCCACTGACCTCTCTTTCAATTTACTGATTCTTTCCCCAGCCGTGTTGAGTCTACTGATCAACACATAAAAAACAGTTTCAATTTCTGTTACTATACTTTTATTTCTTACACACCTATTTGTCTCTCTTACAGTTTTCATCTCTCAGAATTCTCCGTCTGTTCATGCATGTGGTTTCTCTCTCCCATGTTGTTCCATCTTTCCCACTATTACCTTTAACATAGTAGTCACGTCATTTTATTTTACTTTTTAAAAGTTTTCAAAGTTTATTAGAGAAGGAAGAGAGGAAAGATAGAGAGACATGCCAGAGCTGGCATGGGTGAAAGAAACTGCCTAATCATGTTATTTTAAATGATCTACCTGATAGTTCCAACATCCTGGTTATCTCTGTATCTCATTCATCGATTGCTCTGTCCCTGGATGGTGTTTTTATTTTCTTGCTCTTTTGAGTGTCTCATACTTTTTGACGGAGGCTGGTCACCATTTCTAGAATGGTGGAGATGAGGTAAAGAGTGTTTGCATCTGGAGATGGGTATGCCACTTCTTCTGCTAGGCCACTGGTGTGTGTGTGTATGCGTGCGTGCAGTGTAAATATGCAGATGCTTAAAAACGTCGTAGGGAATTGAGCCGGGTTTGGGTTTTGCTGTGGCTCTAGTTACCTATATAGTCCACGGCTCATTTCAAATTCCTTGAGTGCTATTTTCACCTCTGCGGGGGTCTTGGAAGGACGCACCATCCCTCCAAATGTTCCCGCTCCACCCTCAGATTTTGGCCTTCCTGTGGGTCTGCACCACAGAAAGGATGGCTCTCTATGCCCGTGCCAGTCTTCCAGTAGTAGACTGCTGCTGCTCGGTGCTTGGTGCTTGTTGGCCTGGTGGTGGTGGTGGAGTCAGGGAGTTTTTCTGCTGTCCCGGTCCAGGCTCTGTCGTCGGTAGACCCTGTGTGCCTCCTCTTTCTTCTGCTTCTCCTTTCCGTGGCAGTTAATTTTGCCTGGCATCTTGGCAGTTTTTGTGCAAGAGAATTTCGTGTCTTCCTTCCACAGTGAGGATACCTCCACTGGTCTTGGCCTAGACCTGTTTTTGCCCCTGCCAAGGGTACAAGCTATTTTCTGTTACCGTGCCTCTGTCTCCAGTGAGTCTTCACTTGTGCCTTGAGGGAGCAGTGACGGGTTTGCTGCCTCTGTCCCGGCGCCCTGTGGTCTTTGTTCTGCAGGTGGGAAGGTTCTGCATGGGGTTCAGGCCCGTCCGGCCGCCCTCCCTCACTGCACCACTGAGGAAGGGTTTCGCTGGTCTCCTGTTCTGTCCCCTACTTTTCTCTGAACACACGGTGTAGATCCACGGAAAAGAATCTTTGAGTGGCTGTGAATTCCCCGCGTGCCTGCACCTGCAGGGGTTCTACAACCTCCTGGTAGCTTCCATCCACCCTTTAGCAGTTTGTGGAAAATGTAAGCAGGATTTCTAATCTCGGCTTGCATGGAAACTGCAATTTCTTCCTCTATTCATATTCTGCCAAAGGGTGAGTCAATGTTCACATCCTGTCTCTCACTGGAATTTCCTGTCCTTCCCTGATGTCAGATCCTTGGTTGTGCTGTCACCTCAGTTCTCTAATCAGTTCGAGAAAAGCTATACTTGTTCATTTACCTGCCTTTTCTTGTTCTCAGGGTGGGCTTCACATAGTCCAGCCCTCTACGTTTCAGGCAGAAGTAGAACACATACAAAATACATACGTGTGTGTGTGTGTGTGCACGTGCGTGCACGCACGTGTGTGTTCTCAACCAAAGGTGGTTTTTGCCACCCAGGGGATATGTGGCAATGTCTGGAGAAGCCTGGTCATGACTGGGATGTGCAACTAGAGGGCAGAGGCTCGAGCTGGTCAACATGGAACAATGCTCAAGTGCTGGGACAACAGGCGTAGCCACCGCATCCAGACGCTTTTTTGGCTGTTTGATCAGTTCTGACAGTAGTCTATTAAAATCTTCCACCATGACTAAAAATATCTTATATGTTTTTGAGGCTATGTTCTCAAATGTCCATTAAAACACTATGTATTTCTTCTGAATTAAATCTTTGATAATCGTGAGGTGACCCTTTGTACGTCTAGTAAGGAATTTTGTCTGATAACGTTACACCAAAACCAGCTTTCCTGTGATTAGAATTTGCTTGGTGTACATTTTCTGTCCTTTTCAGCTTTCAAATATCCTTATGCCTTACATATATTGTTTATAGACATAATATAATTGTCCTGTAAGGTTCCATTTGATAACCTCTTGGCTGTGGCACTTAATAGACTGACATTTATTGTCAATACACATGTATGTCCTGTCTTATAGTTTAGTGTCTTTATTTGTCTTCTCTCCTCTATGTTTATTTTTGTCTCCATTGTTGCCTTTTTTTCAGTGGATTCTGTGTTTCTTGTATGCCACATCCCCTTTTCTGTCAGTTTGGAAGTTGTGTATCATATTTCTGGTCCTTGAGTTGTGACTCTGTAATACCACAGGCATAATCTTAAAAGTATCAACATCTAAATTTAATCCGTTTCTTTGCCCAATTTCCTAAACAATATAAAAATTCTGGTATATTTTTACCACCATTTATGTCCCCCCAACTTATGTAAGATTGTTGATAGATTTAAAAAAAAAATTTTAAATTTCAAAGATGTGGGGTACAATTCAAGCTTAGGCATACAAATTTTCTTTTTTTTAATTGATTCCCCTACTCTTTTAAAAAAAATTTACTTATTTTAAAGATGTGGGGTACAATTCAGCATTAGGTATACAAATGGTGATTATGTAGTTATGTTGATAGATATTTTAAATAATTTTTCTCTGAAGTACACACTTTTTAATATTTATTGTTTTATGAACTGTTAGCTCAGATTCACCCTCTCAGACTGTCCATCTGGGATTACTTTCTGTCTGCTGAAGTGCATTTGTTAGACTTTCCTTTAGTAAGAGTGCTGTTAACAAAGTCTCTTAGTTTTTGTCTGAAAGTATTTTTAATTATCCAAATTCTTCAGAGAAATGTTCACTTCAAAAATATTTTATTTTATTTTATTATTATTTTTGAGCCAGAGTCTCCCTCAGCCTCCCCAGTAGCTGGGACTACAGATATGCTCCGTCATGCCTGGCTAATTCTTCTGCTTTTTTGTAGAGACAAGGTTGTCTTATGGTGCCTAGGCTGGTCTCAGACTCCTGGTTTCAAGTGATTTTCCCACCTAGGCCACCCAAAGTGCTGGGATCATAGGTGTGAGTCACCATGTCCCCCAAAAGATTTTAAATTTGAGTTACTTCTCTGAGCACACTGGATACATTGTTCAATATCTTCTGATATTTTTGTTTTGTTTTGAGTTGGAGCCTCACACTCCGTCGCCTAGGCTGGAGTGCAGGGGCACACTCCCAGCCACTGCAGCCTCAATTCTGGGCTCAGGCGACCCTTCGTCCTCAGCCTTCCAAGTAGCTGGAACCACAGGCGTGTACCACCATGTCTGGCTAATTTTAAAAAGTTATTTTAGAGACATAGTCTCACCAAGTTGCCCAGGCTGGTCTTAAACCCGTGGGCTCAGGCAACCCTCTCACCTTGGCCTCCGAAAGTGCTTGGGAATACAGGCTTGAGCCACCATGCCCGGCCTCTTCTGACATTTTTAATGTTTTCTGCCCTTTTGTTGCTGATGAAAATTCATTATGATGTTTCTTGGTGGTGATTTCTTTTTATTCACCCTGTTTGAAAGTACTGTTGAATCCGTAGGTAGGGACTGTTCATCAGATTGAGAAAACTGTCAAGTCATTATCACTTCAGATCTCACCTCTGGTGTTTCAGACCTTCTTATTCACTCCTCTGTGTCTTTTAAGCTCGATCTCACATTTTCTGTCTCTGTCTCAATGTTCTTTATTCTGGATAAATTTCTTTGATTCATATTATAGCTTCAAATATCTGTGATTTATGTTTAAATCATCTGTTGAGTTTTAAGTTTCAATGATGATGTTCTTCATTTCCAGGCATTCTGCTTGGGCCCAAAATATTCTTGGAGCCGGGCTCGGTGACTCAGCCTGTCATCCCGCGCCTTTGGGAGGCTAAGGTGAGTGGATTGCTGAGCCCACGGGTTCGAGACCCGCCTGGGCAGCAATACCTCATCTCTACAATAAATCAAAAAATCAGCCGGGCATGGTAGCACGTGCCTGTAATTCCGGCTACTCGGAGGGCTGAGGCAGAAGGATCGCCGGAGCCCAGCAGGTCGAGGCTGCGGTGGCCGGGAGCGGCCACTGCACTCCAGTCTGGGCGACGGAGTGAGACTCCAACTCAAAAAAAAAAAAAATTTCTTATTCTCTGTTTTTTTAAACTTATTTCTGATCATCTTAAAACATACAAGCAAAGTTATTTTATAGTCTGTGAATGGTAATTCATTATCTAAATTCTTCTTGGGTCCGTTTATTCTGTCTTGTGGTTTCTTCTGATTCTTTTCATGGATTATTTTTATTTTCTGTAGTGGACTGCTCATTTTCCTTGGATTTCAGTTGTGATCATTCTTTGAGGACTGGAATCTAGGTAAGTTTCTCCAAGAGACATAAATATATTGTTTCCAAGTTTTTGGGGATATTACCAGTTCGGGATCATTCCACATCAAATGCTTTGCTCGAGGTTTTCAGGCTCACTCAGCTAATGCGAATATGGGCTGTCAGTCAGTGTGATCCTAGACTGCGGTTCCAGGTCCTCAGAGATGACTTTCCTTCCACCATCTGCTGAATACTGACATTCAAGAAATCCAAGTTTTTAAAAAAATGTTCAAAATTTGAATGACCCTCCTTCGGCCACCTCCTCGTGTATGTATGCAAAGCATCGTTCTTTGGGTGGCCCAGTTTTGTGGTGGGAGGATCTTCAAAGGCTACTCATCCTTTGAGTAAGCCCTGGGTTTTGTCTTCAGTTTCCCTTTTGCTGTGAGGTTATGAAAAGCAAAGTTCGAGTTCACTCCCTGACTTGTGTCCTCAGGACAGAAGCTAGCTGCAGCAGCCTCCCTATCTTTTGGGGCTCTTCCTTATATCTAGTTTTGGTCTTAGAAATTCTCTACATTCCTACTACCTCATCACTATATTTAAGGTGGCTTTTTTTTTGAAGTCTCACTCCATCGCCTAGGCTGGAGTGCAGTGGCACGCTCACGGCCACCAGAGCCTCGACCTGCTGGGCTCAGGCAATCCTTCCGCCTCAGCCTTCCAAGTAGCTGGAACTACAGGCCCATGCTACCATGCCCGGCTAATTTTTGATTTATTGTAGAGACGAGGTCTCACCAAGTTGCCCGGGTGGGTCTCGAACCCCTGGGCTCAGGCAATCCTCTCGCCTCAGCCTCTCAAAGTACTGGGATTACAGGCTTGAGCCACCATGCCCGGCCCTGTATTTAAGGTTTTAAAAATGCTTAATCAAGAATTTATGGTTGTGCTGATGGATGGTCAGTATAGATACCCAGCCTGTTCATCACTGAAGTCTATCCATATTCCTAAAAGATAGGGAAGGCTGCCAAATAAATCAGCATAATCGTCAATAATATCATAAATGATATGGTATGCCTGAAATAGTATAGAGGCGGGGGGAGAGAAAAAAGATATAGTACAGTGTATTCAAATATATTCTCAATTATCATGCACTCAATTAAGTAGGTGATGACCTGGATACGTTATGTACTTTTATTTTCAATTTTTAAATTAACGTTTAAATTAAAATTTTTAAGTACAAGATACAATATTTCTTACAAAAGTGTTCTTCCATACTTACAGCGTAACCTTTCATTAAGATGCTCAAGGGACTGCAGGATCTTCTGTTCTTCAGCTGACAGCATGCAGATGTTGAATTGCTGGGTCTTATTTAAAGTGAGATTTGGCTTCTGTAGCTGCCTGCTGTTCATGAGAGTTAGAATTTCATCCTCAGGTACTGAGGCTTTCACTAGGTTTTCAGCCATCAAAAACTCAGAAGTACTACCTGAAACTACAGAAACTTTGCATCAGTACTTCTTGGATTCCTTTTTGTCTTTGAGACCAGCCCTTATACATACTTAACTGACATATGCCTGTATGTATTCATTTTACAAAGAGAAACCTAGTGACTATTAGGTTACTTTGCATTTTATTTATCAGGATCCTCTGGCTAGCATTTTTGCATCCTTAATTTTTAAAAAAAGGATATTCAAAACAATGGCAGCGAGTTACTACAGATTCCTCGTGTTGCCTAAACTAAAAAAAAACCAAAAAACAACAACCAAAAGAACCCAAACCAAAACATTATGTTTAGACAGTCTTTTGTGTGTTTGTTATTCACTGAGGGCCTAAAAAGAAGTTAAACAAGATTGCCTTTATGATAGCAATTATACCGATTTATAAATAAAAGAGTAAAAGGAACTTAAGGAAAGATTATAAAATTTGATGATCAGCTGAACAGAACTGACAGCCCAGAAACAGACTCAATGAGATACAAGAACAAGAAGAAAGAGACGTCAAAGATTTGAGAAGGGGAAGATGATTCACTAAATTAGTTCTCTGCTTATAAAAGAATTTCAATTTGGAGTTTTATTTCCCACTGTGTGTCGTTTAGACAAATTCCAAATAAATCAAAGAGTTAAATGTAAGAAATCAACCTATTAATCAAAGCAACTTAGAAGAAAAAGAAACAAACATTTAAAAATTTCTGTATTGGGAAGTTTCTTTGAGCTTAAAAGTGACAGAGAAATCATTTTTTAAAAAAGACAAAAGCATGTTTTAAAGGCCAGTCTTCCCTAATAGAGTTTAGGTTTCTGAAGGGCAATACTTTTGTATATTTTGTTCATTACTGTACAGGTCGAGTATCAAAATGCTTGGGACTCGAAGTGTTGTGGACTTCAGATTTTCAGAAATTTTGGAATATTTGCATATATATAATGATATAACTTGGGGATGGGACTCAAGTTTAAACATGAAATTCATTTATACCTTATACACACAACATGAAGGTAATTTCATACAATATTTTAAATAATCTTGTGCAGAAAACAAAGTTTGTATACACTGAGCCATCAGAAAGCAAAGATGTCACTCTCTCGGCCTCCCGTGTGGCCAATTTATGGCTATTTTGCATCTCCAACATTCCTAACCCTGAACATAAATGCTGCGGATAAACAATCATTTTCTTACACTTTTCCACACACAAGTATTGACAATATAAGATATGACAGCAAAAACATAAAGTGTTCAGGGTAACTGGACAACACAGCTGCATCACCAGAACACCTGTATCAGCTGTTGGACAACAGCAGCGGCCAATACCGGCAGCCTTTCAGTCTCCACCTGGTGTTGTGATTTGATTTAAAAGGTTACTGCATACTGTACTGTATTTTTTAGCTAAGAAGACATGTCTGAAGCAGCTGAGGGACCAGGAAGTGGGTCCCCTGGGTGGGGGTAGGTCCTGCCCAGGCATTCTGCTGGATGACTCTTTTAAATGTGTCCTCCAGAGTCATCTGCCTCATTATCAATGCTTTTGTCTCAGAAGCCTCTCTCTGATATATAAACGGACATGCTCTCTTGTTGCTGTGAATGTACACGACTCCAGTCCCTTGATGAGGCCACCGCACATTTTCACGGGGACTGCTGTCTCTGGGTGCTTTCCTGCGTGACAACAACGTCATCTTCATCGTCACTTTTTCCTGAGTCGGAGTCTCACTCCGTCACCCAGGCTGGAGTACAGTGGCAAGCTCACAACCACCCCAGTGGTGGCCCACTGGGCTCTGGCGATCCTTCCGCCTCAGCCTTCCAAGTAGCTGGAACTACAGATGTGCTGCCATGCCTGGCTAATTTTTTGATTTATTGTAGAGTTGCCAGGCTGGTCTCGAACCCTAGGCTCAGGCAATCCTCTCACCTTGGCCTCCCAAAGTGCTGGGATTATAGGCGTGAGCCACTGCACCCAGCCCTATCATCACAACCATCATGCCACCTTGATTCAGATCATTCTGGTTATTTCGCCATTGGTCAGTGAACGAACAACTGGAGCCTCATTCCTGATGTTAAAAACTTCTTTGGCATTCACTTCTTCCAGCTAGCTGATGGACGCTGAAGGGATATTTTCTGCACAAGGAGGTCAAACATTTTCTCTCGCTTGACATATGAAATCCTTCAAAGGTATCATCTTTGATCCTCATCTTCACTGAACTTAGTTGCAGGTCAGAGGCTGTGGTGCCAAGCACGCACAATCACGTCTCTAGTCACTGTGCTCCAAGTGTTGGCAACAGCATATACTGTATCCTTCATGCAAAACTTTTTCTTAAAACCTTCCACACTCAAGCCTCTGTTCACTACTGCTAGCATGCTGTTCCAAAAGGTGTTTTTACAATTACCTTTCATTGATCTAAGGAAACCCTGGTCACATGATGGAATGAATGAAGTCACATTTAGGAGAAAGCATGTGGCAAAAACATTTTTGATGAGAATTCTAGCTGGCAGATGAACGGAACAGCTGTCAAAGAATAATAAAATCTTGTAGACCTCAGTCCAGCTTCCCTGGTACAAGTGTTTGTGAAACCAAACAGAAAAGATGTCCCTGGGGATCCATGTCTTTTTGTTAGCATAATAACGGACTGGTACGGAATTCACTCCCTGAAAACAGTGAGGATGCAAGCTTCTGCCCATCATAGTGTTTCTGCTTAGGCATGTCTGCGGCATTAGCAGACCCCAGCAGTCATTCTGCCCTTGGCATCCTAGTTCCTGTAGGGGCTGTCCTATTAGCTGCGGTCAGCTCCTCTGGGCACTAACACCTAGACGGTGATGTTTCATCAGTATCATAGACTTGCTCTGCTGTCACATGTTCACCAGCGATGACCTTGGCCAACTTGCCAACAGATTTCTCCAGCAGATGCTTTATCACTAGAAACCTTTAAAAATGTAATGCTGTGTCTTGTTTTAAACTTCTGCAACTGGCCTATTGAATATTTATAGTTCCCTTCCATTTTCAGTTCACCGTAGCAGACCTTCGCTTGTTTCACAATCTGCAGACCACTAAGTGGCTTGTGGTCCCTGGTGCGATGGATCCTCTCTTTCAATACATGATGAGATCTTCACTTTCTGCTCTATGCTGTGCTTTTCTATTTTTCATTAAGTCCCTTCCTCACTTTCAGCACAGAGCTTCCACAGCTTACCCTCCTGTGCCTTGAGGTCATCTGCGGAGTTTCACAGGTGACCTCACTCTTCTCTAAGATGTTTCACAATTACACTGCTGGCCAGATTCTCCAAGAGCTCGACTTTCTGGGCTACAGAGAAAACAATGCTTCCTCTTTTTCTTATCACTGCTATCCACATAGGTATCTGCAGGCCTTTTTGATAGTTTCAATAGTGTTTTTACGCCACAAAGCAGGGAATAAGCAAAAAATAAATAAATAAATAAAAAGTGAGTAATGAGCACAGCTCTTGGACCTGTGTGGGATCGCAGGGGAACCTGCCATGGGCACATCAGCCAGCACGTGTGCCATTTTATTACCCTTTGTGGGCACGCTTGCGTGGGGAAGTCTGGGTGTAGTGGAGAAGACACATCACAGCCAAAGGGGATTGGGAGGATCTTTTAACTATTTGTCGTGTGCCTGTGTTTTGAATGTGATCTAATCTATGAGGTCGAATGTGGAATTTTCCATTTGTGACATCATATCAGTGCTCAGAAAGTTTTTAGATTTTGGATTGGTTTTGATTTTGGAATTTTAAACTAGGGATGCTCAACTTGTGTATCTGGTATCTACCTGTAAGCAGAAAATTCACACTCAATAATCATGTACTGAATGAACAAAGAAAAATTAAAACATACATATGCAAAAATAAAGTATAAGTGAAATAAAGTGAAATAATAAAATAGTGAAAACATTTGCTTTGGGAGACTGAGGCGAATGCCTGAATCCACAGGTTTGAGACCAGCCTGGGTAACTTGGTGAGACCTGTCACTACAATAAATTAAGAGTTCCAGCTATTTGGAAGGCTGAGGCGGAAGGATTGCTGAGCCCAGCAGGTCAAGGCTGTGGTGGCCATGAGTGTGCTACTGCACTCCAGCCTGGAAGACAGAGTGAGACTCTGGTTCAAAAAAAAAAATGCAACTAATCTAAAGATCAGAATCCTTGATGGTTATCTCAGTAAGAAAAATTCAAAACTCTAATAGCTAGGAAAAAAGAACATGAAGAGACAATTCATCAAAAAGCACATACAAAAACAGTCAAGTATATTATTAATAAAAGGTGCAGACACAAAAACCAATACAGTACTACTTAATTGCCTAGCATATAAACAAACACGAGAAGATTCTACCTCAAGCTGACATATACCACTGGGAGAAGTTTGAATGATAACATTTTCTGGAAAATACTTTAGCAATATGTATGAAAAGCCATACAATGCTTATTTCCTCTGATCCAGCATTCATTTAATACACAGAGGTGCATTCAAATAATATTTACTGGGTGCCGATTACATGCCAGTTACTATAATTTCAATTCTGGAGATTTATCCTATACAAATAATTGGAAAGTCAGGAAATAACATGTTTCATACATTATTATCTAGAGTAAAGCAACACTAGTAACCGCCTGAGGAGGTTCTCAGTGATGACTTAACGGCCACATAACACGCTAAGTAGCTGAGAAAATACATATCAGGAGAACAAACCACTGAGAGCAAAGATCAGAAGAAAATGTTTAAGCTAAGACATACCTTCTTCAACAGCAGAAGTGCCTCTTCTAGTTTGTTGTGGCTCCCTTGAACATATCTGGACACTTTGTCCAAAATGCTATAAAACAGAATATTGAATTAAACTATAATTCCATGTTTAAAATTCATAATATTTACATGGACTTTACAACTGTTAAAAATTGCTATATATATTTTTTCAGTTATCATTGTTCACATAACTTGTATATTTTCATTTTTTTTCTTTGGAGGTGAAATCAAGACTTACTGGTATAAAGCCTTTCGATGTTAACTGAACAATTTTTACAAAACGTGTTTTCTGTTCACTGAGAAATTCTCAGGTTGTGATGTTGTCCTGGATATTTGAAAGTGGTCAAATAAGCTGAGTGACTACTACTAATTAAAGGAAAGGTAAATTACCTTAAAGCTTATAACCTAGCTCGTTTGTTATTGTCAGGGTGAATCACACGTAGCTACTAGCCAAAAGCCTCTGACTATGGCTCATGCCAAAGACAGGTAAGCATATTAGCTGACAAAACTTAGAACGGAAACAGCAGCCCCAAGGCTGCATAAAACCTGGAAAAGAGAAAGTTCCGTAAACCGGCAATAAGCACATCCATTCAGCACTTGCTGAGAGACGCCGACGCTTCTCCGGATATGGTCCATTGTCTTCTTTCTTCCCAACTGCTGCACTTGAAGAAGTAACTGTAGTAACTGTTTTCTCGCGACCACACTCAACTTCTGTTTGGCCTGAGCTAAAGGAGAGCTGTGGATTTCGAAACAGCTGTCCCTCCAGAGTGCTCACGGTCTTGCCCGACCTTCACTACAGATTTGAGAAACCTTGGACTGAAACCCTGGTGCCCAGTGGCAGCTGTGCGTTTTCTGCCTTTCATGCATGTCTCTTACACTTTCTCCACATAGAAGTGACAGGCTGCAGAAAACCCAACCAGGTGAAACCCCGTGCGAGCTGGCAAGGGCCACTGCTACCGTCCCCAAGCCCTTCCCTGGCTCGGGAACAACAAAATGAAACAGAATGATACAGATACAACATTTTGACTCAGGAACACATTCTACAGCCAGTAAGACCCTGGGAGATGTCTACGTGGGTGTGTGGGTGGCAGCTGGGCATGGGCAGGGCGAGTGAGGCTTCTGGACAGAAGGACGAAGACGGACTCCAGAGGCGAGACAGGGGACGTGAAGGAGAAAGAGACGAAGGTCCCAGAACACAAGGCTGCGCCTGGAGAGGGACTCACGGAGGCCTCTGACGTCCAGCCTGCCCATTCTTTGGGTGTGACAGCCGAGTATTATCTTAAAATTCGAAACATATTAGTAAAACCCAAGAGAAAATAAGGGTACAAGATGCTTTCACCATGGATTTTGAGACGTTTGATGGGAACAACATGGAACTTCAAACAGAAGGACTTATGAGGTGCCACTGCATCTGTACTTGGTAATTAAGTATATGCTATTAAGCAATAAGAATATACTGATAATGGGAATAACTTTATTTATATAAGCATAGAGCTAAATCAGTTGTTCTGCTAAGATAGATCATGGTTGATTATTCTCCATAATAACAGCCTTATCCATCTAAAAATAATTATTTCCTATAATATACAAATGATAGGACTCTCCTGTAACTTAAAATATAAATTCTCCATAAGGCGCTCTAGTCTAGTTCTTTTTAAAACTTAGAAGTGATATTTAAAGTAGAAACTTCAAGTAAAATGCTCTCTACTTATCCATCTAGACTTTTAATATTTTAAAGTCAATCCTTGGGTCAAGTTAGAAGTATCCAGTCCTCAGATCAAGCCACATGAAACTCTTTGCTCATTTGTTGCTGAACGGTTATTAGGGGCATGTTCATTATGTACTTCAAAGTCCACTATACAAGGGTTACTTTAAAATACTGTATCCCAAACAACAACAGTATCAATATCCCTTGAGAATTATATAGCTATCCAATTTCCTTTTTTTCTACGTCTTGGAGGAAGCTCAGATCCAAACAGGTTATCCAATCACAGGTGGCAATATTAGCCTTTATGACTAGCATGCTTGCTTCCCCTATCCATGGCTCTAGCTTTCTTTTCTTTTCTTCAAGTTGTTTCAAAACCTTCATTAACAACTGACTATAAGACGAATTAGAATACAGCAAATAGGTATAGTATGAGTACAATAAGCTCCTAGCATAACGATTCCACGGCTGCTTCACAAATGGTTTAGGCTACATTTACATTTATGTTGTATTACACATACACGATATGCACATACAAGAGCACAGTCTGTTTTGGGCCGGGCGCAGTGGCGCAAGCCTGTAATCGTAGTACTTTGGGAGGCTGAGGCGAGAGGATTGCCTGAGCCCGCAGGTTTGAGACCAGCCGGGCAACTTGGCGAGACCTCGTCTCTACAATAAATCAAAAAATTAACTGGGCATGGTAGCACGCGTCTGTAGTTCCGGCTACTTGGAAGACTGAGGTGGAAGGATCACCTGAGTCCAGAAGGTCGATGCTGGAGTGGCCGTGAGCATGCCACTGCACTCCAGCCTGGACAACAGAGTGAGACTCCAATTCAAATAAAATAAAATAAAATAAAATAAAAAGTAAAAAAAAAGAACACTGTTTTATAAGCAAATTTTAATAATGATTATTTAAAAAAAAAAACTAATACTGTACTTACATTCATTTGCTCACTGTACTTCCGTCCTACAGATCCAGGGTTTTGGCCTTTCTTCTCTAAAAGACTTCTCTGCTTGTTTTCAACGATTCGTTTTCTTCTCATAACTGTAGAATCTTAAACACATGCCAGTACAATATCAAAAATCATGCAAGTTGAGTAGATTGAGATTATGTATCTCCGCTACATAATCACGCTCAAGTCCACTGCACAATTACACACATTACAGAAAACTGTTAAGTCTCACTTGTTTGGTCAGCATATTTTTATTGAGCTCCTCTTACATGTTCCATGCATGGCACACGTACAAGAATGGCTTCAACAAAATTCCTGCTTCTGAGAGGTTTATAGTTTAGAGCAGTGACCTCCAGAGCACAGGGCTGGAACAGCGAGGCATGTAAGATAATCCACTGGTGTGCAGGAAGGTGTTAGAATTCTAGCTTCTATTTGTTAAAAACTAGAAGTTCAACTTGGCATGGGCACTCCGTTCCTTTGCAAGGCAGAGGGTAATATGGTGTGCGCAGGCAACTCATTCGTCTTGAAGGAAGAACAGACATTCTGAGAACATGAGGCCGGCAGTGTCGTTGTCACCATCCGTGCCCTTCAAGCTCCTGCAATGTGCGAACGTGAATGTGTGCTCAGGGAAGTGGACTTATGCATGCCTTGCAGTATATTAAGTTCTCACAAAAGCTGGAGGCTTATTCTGAGAAACAGGAGTCAGCAGTTAAAAGGAAGGGGTAAAAACGGCGGGGAGGCGTGCAGCTCAGCGGAGGAAGGGGTTTGAGCCAACCAGCAACGGGAGGGGACGCCCCATGAGGCGGGGCCCCTCCGCACTGCGCCTTTCAAGCAGAGGCTGAGCGTCCACCAAGAGGAAGCTAGATGCATGGGTTACAGGTTGAACTAGTTCGGTTTTAAAATATTTTCCAGAGCTGCAATTCAGCGACTGTCTCCTGCATTTTTCATGTTTCCAATTAAGAATGCTACAGATTTTTAGATATGCAATATTTTATTGAAGGTTAGTCGCCTTATTCTGAGTTTTGGTAGTGAAACTAGTATATCTAGAATTTTCACATGAAACCAGAAATTTGGCCAGAAATACCAATGCAAATAATTTTTTCCAAAAATTCCAAGCTCTTGGCAATTGTATTTTTTTTTTTTTGAGTTGGAGTCTCACTTTGTTGCCCGGGCTGGAGTGCAGTGGCATGCTCAAGTCCATTCCAGAATCTACCTGCTGGGCTCCAGCAATCCTTCCGCCTCAGCCTTCCAGGTAGCTGGAACTACAAGCGTGCGCTACCACGCCTGGCTAGTCTTTTTTATTTATTGTAGAAGTGAGGTTTCACCATGTTGCCCAGGCTGGTCTCGAACCTGTGGGTTCAGGCAATCCTCTCACCTCAGCTTCTCAAAGTGCTGGTATTAGACAGGCTTGAGCCACTGCGCCCGGCTTATTGTATTATTAGATAGCATTTAAGTGCCTGTGTGTGAACCCTCCTCTCAGACCGAACCCCTCCTCTCATTGTCCTGGGTCACCCAGGTTGTTTATATATCCCTTAAAATATATATACTCTAAAATAACATAGAGGGCAACCCCCTCGGGTCCTCTCCCACTGTGGGAGATTTTCTGTCCTCTCAATAAATCCTGCTTTAAAAAATAAAAAAATAAAATAACATAGAGCACAGCAGTACTTCTAAACAGCTGGTTATTACTGCCTGAAATTATCATCTAAAATTATACTGGCTTTGTAACAGCTATAGTAAACTACTTTTTGTTTTGTCTTGTTCAGTTTTGTGTATGTGTTTGTCTCAAAGGACAGCTGTCAAGACAGATATCTTCCCTCTTGGAACTATAACACTGATTTGAAAAGATGAAATACATACAAACTATAAAGGAACAGATCACATTAACATGAACTTTTATCCATCAAAAAGAGTAAAAATACCAATCACAAATTGGCAGAAAATAACTGCAATACAAATAACCTATTGAGAAGAGAAAGTATCAATAGAAAAACGGACAAAAGGGCATTGCACAAAAGAGAAAATGCAAATGATGCATAAACATATGAAAATGCTCAATTTATTAGTAATCAAGGCAACGTATTCCATAAATAGAAACTATTTTAAACCTGTAAGATGGAAAACATTAGAAAGTCTATCAGACTTTTGGTGAGAATGTAGTAAAGAGAATTCTCACGTATTACCCTGGGAAACAATTTGGATTATCTAGTAAAGTTGAAAATACACATACCCTATGACCAGCAACACGTGCATTAATACACGTACAAATCTGTTCCTCGAGGCATTAGTCATAAAAGCAGAAGCTAGAAGCAACCAAAATGTCCAATGACAGAATGAAAATCTATTTGTACATTCATTTGATGGAATGTGATACAGCAAGGAATATGAAACACAGTTAAACTAATCAACAAGTCTAAAAAGTTGATTGAAAAAAGCATATCCTAGAAGGATACAGATGAAATGATTCCATTTATATACATTTCAAAATGAGCCAAAACTAAACAAGATAGTTTGGGATAAGTCATAAGTGGCAAAAATGATCAAGAGAAGCATGGAATCAATCACACAAAGTTCTACCCGGTACTCACTTCGGCAAGAGGAAGGATGCAATTGGAGGTGGGCATGGTGCTTCAGGTGTTGATGACTTTCTGTTTCTAAAACGGGGCAGGGGGCACAGGGTCTTTTATTACTAGTCTTAAGCTTGTTCTCACGTGTCACATACATTCTTTTGAATATAAGACATAGTCAACAACTTGAAAAACTTATGAAGTAAACTGAATACAACTGTTTGACTTCATAGTTATCTCTGCTAAACTAGACTGTATTGGTTTTGGCTTGTCAGTTCAGTTAGGAAAATTTTGAATCTTGTTTCACCCTCTGTTTTATCAATGACTTCCACAAATTTTACAGATAAATGTACTTTTAAAAATGTATATTGCTGAAAAATCTATGGTTATTCTGAAAGTGTGTTGTTTTTTTTTTTAAAACAAAGCAGCTAAGTAGTTAGGAATACTGACTCTAAACAGAATGCCTTAATCTTGGGTATGCCATTTATACTAGTTATGTGACTTGTATACTTTATTTATATTCCATGCACCTCAGTTTCCTTGTCTACAAAATGAGCATAATAATATTATCTATCTCACTAGCTTATTGGGAGAATTAATTCTGTTTGCATATGTAAAGTGCTTACAATAGCAATTGGCACATAATACATATTATCTAATTTTTAACTAGAATAATTTGCTTCCACGTCTCTGACCAAACTTTTGATCTCATGAAAACTAGATTTATTTTAAGGAAAGAACACTGGAGCTGCAATAGGAAATTCTGGCTCTGCTTTGAGCTAGCTGGTTCACCTTGGGTTGTATAATTTCACTACTATGTGTGTCAATTTCCTCATCCATGCAATGTGGGAGTTAAACCAAATTGTCTCCATGGTCCTTTCTAGTAATCACATTTTTGATTCCTTGAAGATATTCTTAATAATTACTGAAAAAAGAAAAATGTATTCTTTTTGAAATCAGATTTCAAACTACTTACTGTGTCACCATCATTTGGCTTTAAAAAATGGAAGTATATTCTACATACAGAAAAGTGTACATAAGTACACAGATGATACACCCAAGCCCCGGTTGCCCAGCCACTCAAGTCAGGAAACAGAAGAGCTCTCCTCATGACTCGTTTCCATATACCCCTACCACCGGTTCTTGATGTAAAAGGAATACAATATGTATTTTATGATGCAATATGCTTCTTGTACACAGTGCTATGGTGAGATTCATCTGCACTGCTGGCTTTTTTTTTTCTTTTTAGCAATAGCTCATTCATTTTCATTATAGTATTTCATTGAATGAACAATGATATTATACCGTGTAGTGCTGAGGACATCTGAGATCATTCCAGGTTCTGGTTACAAGGCTGCTATGAAAGTTCTCGAACACGTCTTTTGGTTTACATATGAATGAACTTCTGATACACACACAAGCTTTTGGACAGGAATTGTGTCCAACTTTTGTAGTTATGATTTTCCAGTTGATACACATCTTCACTAACCCTTGGTATCGTGCCTTTTTTATTTTAGTCATTCTGGCATGTGCAGTCTTATCTAATTGTCTCAATGTGCATTTTCCTGATGACTAATTGACCTCTGCATGTGTTTCCTGACTATTGGCTGTCCTCCTGTATGAAAATATTTTTTCCAAACTTTGGCTTTAAAAAAAAAGTGGTGTGATGGTCTTATTGATGTGTTACCTAGACGTACAGTCTCCAGCCATTCAAACACAAATGAGGGTGTTGCTGTGACTGTATTTTCAAGATGTTATTAAAGTCCATAATCTGTTTAAGTAAGAGAGGCTATCCTAGATAATCTGGATGAACTTGATCCGACCAATTAAAAGGCCCTAAGAGCAAGACCGAGGCTTTCTTGAGAGAATCAACAGTCAGCCTGTGGACAGCAGTTTTCACCCGTCCCTATGGGATCTGACCTACTCTTTCTCATGGCCTGTCCTACGTATTTTAGATTTGTCTAGCCAGGCCCTATATTCAGTGTGAACCAATCCCTTGCCATAACTCTCTTTATAACTCTTCACTGGTTCTGCTTCTCTGGCTGAACTCTGACTGATATAGCTGGGTTGTCTTTATCTTATTGACTGTAGGAGGTCTGTATATGTTCTGGATATAAGCTCTATGTCAATATTATGCATTACAGAGATCTTTTCCAGGTATTCATAAACTTTACATCTGACAAAGAATCTATATCCAGAATCTATAAAGAACTCAAGCAAATCAGCAAGAAAAAAGCAGATAACCCCATTAAAAACTGGGCAAATGACATGAACAGATATCTCTAAAGAAGATATACAAATGGCCAACAAATATATTAAAAAATGCTTCGCACCATTAATCATCAGGGAAACGCAAATTAAAACCATAATGAGATACCACCATACACTAGTCCGAATGGCAATTACTAAAAAAAGAAAAGATGTTGGCACAGATAGGGTGAAAAGGAAACCCTTAAACAGTTAGTGGGAATGCAAACTAGTACAACCTCCATGAAAATCTGTATGGAAAGTTTTCAAAGAACTAAAAGTTGGTCTACCCTCCTATCTGGAAGTCCCCGAACTCGGTACCTAACTACCCACAGGAACAGAAGTTGTTACAGAGAAGACACCTGCACTTGTATGTTCATCGCAGCTCAATTCACAACTGTAAAGATGCGAAATCAGTCTAAATGCCCGCCGACTGACCAGTGGATAATGAAAATGTCTCACAAGAGAAGGGAATGCTTCCCCACTCCAAAACACGACATCGTCTTTGGGATGGTGGGCCCCTTGGAATTTTCCTCTGAAATTTGTTCCTCCGGATGAAAGGGTCAACAAGAGGCTTTATCTTGAAGTTTTGAGAAGGTCATGATTAGCAGAAGAAATGTCCCAAGCTGTGGCAAGTAGGTGACTGGTTCTTCCACCATGAAAACGCACCTGCTCACACTGCACTGAGTGCTCAGCGGTTTTTGACGAAAAGTGGCAATGACCCCTGTGCTCCACCCTCCCTATTCACCTGATCTCACCCCGAGTGACTTTTAAAAATTTCCCTAGATGAAAAAAGTCCTCAAAGGGAAACATTTTGCCAATGTGGAAGAGGTGAAACCAAAAAATGGCAGAAGCACTGAAAGGCATGAAAATGGACGAGCTCAAAAACTCTTTTGAGCAGTAGAAAAAGTGTCAATAAGTGTATTGCAGATGGAGAGTACTTTGAAGATGACTGAAGTTTAAAAATGTAAGAATAAATACCCAGTTTTTGGGATTCTTTTTTGGGGGTGCCCCCTCGTGTGTGCACACATATTATGGACCACTATTCAGCCATGAAAAGGAATGAAACAATGTCTTTTGCAGCAACTTGGAAAAATGGGAGCAACTAAGCAAACTGGGAGCTAAACTAAGGACCTGCAAAGCCACAGAGAATGGCATCATGGACGCTGAAGGTTCAGATGGGCGAGGGTGGGGAAGGATGGGAAATCCCCTACCGGGTCCAACGTGCACAGGTGGGTGGAGGGTACACTAAAAGCCCAGATGTCTTTGCCACTGGACATGTATCCATGTAACAAGAAATCATTTGTATCCCATAAAGCCACTGAAATAATGTTTTAAAGAGGTGAAAGAAAAAACAAAACAAATGTCTTCTCCCGTTCTGTACTTTGCCTCTTTTAATGATTTTTTTGCATGAAAAAGTCTCTCATTTTAATGTACAGTTTATCCATCTTCTCCCTAATCGTTTGAACATTTTATGTATTGTGTAAGCAATCTCCGCACATTCTAAAATCATAAATAGGCCAGCGCGGTGGCTCACACCTGTAATCCCAGCATTCTGGAAAGCTGAGGCAAGAGAACTGCTTGAGCTCAGGAGTTCAAGACCAGCCTGGGCAACACAGCAAGAGCTCGTCTCTACAGAAAAAATTAGCCAGGTGTGGTGGTGTGGACCTACGTACGGTCCCAGTTACTCAGGAGGCTTAGGCTGCAGTGAGCCATGATCATGACACTGCATTCAGCCTGAGTGACAGAGACCCCCAACTAAACCAACAAAAATCATAAACGTGTTTCCTATGCTATCTTCTAGATTGAAAAAAAACAACTTTCCATATTTAGAGCCACAGTTCCCCTGAAACTGACGTTGGCGTGCGGTGTGAATGGTGCGAGGTAAGGGCCATTTTTACTAATGCCACACAGCCACCCCACTGGTGAACGACAAGGCGAGCCCTCCCTCCCTGCTATGCGGTGCCACTGTTGCCAAAGATCAAGCACTCTAACATGTGACTCTCTATTCTACTGCATCCACCTAAAGACATGGGGGCTTGGCCAGGCATGGTGGCTCACACCTATAATCCCAGCTCTTTGGAAGGCCCAGGTAAGAGGATTGCTTGAGCCCAGGAGTTCAAGACCAGCCTGGGAAACACGGTGAGATCTCATCTGTACAAAAAATAAAAAAAAGCAGCCAGGAGTGGTGGTCATACCTGTTGTCCCAGCTACTCGGAAGGCTGAGGTGGGAGGACGGCCTCAGCCCAGGAGGTCAATGCTGTGGTGAGCCATGATTGTGTCACTGCTCTCCAGCCTGGGTGACAGAGTGAGACCCTCACAGGAAAAAAAAAAAAAATTCTTGAGCAGGTCGGGCTCGGTGGCTCAGCCTATAATCCCGTGCTTTGGGAGGCCAAGGTGAGTGGATTGCCTGAGCCCGCGGGTTCAAGACCCTCCCGGGCAACTTGGGGAGACCTCATCTCTACAATAAATAAAAAAATTAGCCAGGCGTGGTAGAGCACGCCTGTAGTTCCAGCTCCTTGGAAGGCTGAGGCAGAAGGATCACCAGAGCCCAGCAGGTCGAGGCTGCGGTGGCCGAGAACATGCCTCTGCACTGCAGTCTAGGCGATGGACTGAGACTCCAACTCAAAAAAAAAAAAAAAAATTCTTGGGCAAATACCATATTGTGCCAACTCCTGTATCTCTCTCTATATCAAATAGTGCAAATTTTACAACTTTGCTCTGAGAGAGGGCTCCAGCCATCCCTGGCCTTTTAATTTCCTTATACATGTTAAGCTCAATTTGCCAATTTTCACAAAAATCCTACTGAAACTTTAGGATTATGTTAAGTTTGTGGACTAACTTGGGGAGAACTGGCTCCATTTTAACACTGACCCTTCCAATTCATCAACACGGCATGCCCCTCTCCCCGTTTTCTAAGTTTTCTTTAATCTTTCTCAATAGTCTTCTGTGTAGAAGCCATGCAAATCTTTCATTAGGTTTATGCCCAGGAATTGACATTTTATTTATTTATTTATTTAAGTCAGAGTCTCACTCTGTTGCCCAGGCTGGAGTGCAGTGGCACGCTTACGGCTACCACAGCCGCAACCTGCTGGGCTCAGGTGATCCTCCTGTCTCAGTCTTCCAAGTAGTTGAAACTCCAGGCACCTACCATCACGCCTGGCTAATTTTTTAAATTTATTGTAGAGACAACATCTTGCCAAGTTGCCCAGGCTAGTCTTGAACCCCTGGGCTCAGGCAATCCTCTCGCCTCCACCTCCCATAGTGCTGGGATTACAGGCATGAGCCACCCTGCTAGGTCTACATTTTTGTTGTTGTTGTTGAGTTGGAGTCTCACTCTGTCACTCAGACTGAAGTGCAGTGGTCACTCCTGTGCTTTGTCCACAAAAATTACATAATAAATATATTTATTAAGCAAATTATTATATTTATTATGTAATTTTTGTGGAAAAAGCACAGGACTTGGAGCCATAGAGATCTGGATCAAAATAACAATACTACCGTTTTCTAGCTCTTGACCCTAGGCAATTCTATTTCCTTCTTTGCAAGATAAGCTTTTAACGTGCACAGCACTCAGTCCTGTGAAGAGAAACTCAAAAAGTAAACACCATTACTTATCATTATTTTAGAATATCCAATCTGTAGGATAGCTTCAGTTTTGGGAAGTATTATGAAAATTAAGTTGCACTGCAAAACAGCAGGATAAAGAGAATGAAACTTTTAGTGAGAGGAACACTTTTTTCAAATCTAGATTTTCGTAGGCGAGTACTAAAGGTTTATAGATGGCAGGCTCTGCGTGTAGCTTTCCACCAGCTGATGTGCCTAGTGTCCCTCCAGCTCAGGAGAAGCCTGGATGACCTAAGTGCCAGGCACTGTTAGGACCTGGGGACACAGTGATGCACTGTAAAAAATGTCCCTCGTCCTCAAGAGCTCGTGGGCTAACTGAAGAATACTTTGAATATTACCTGTTAAGCTCTCTCTCTCTCTATGAATATTTATTCCTGCCTTTGGGAGAATATTTATTCCTGCCTGTAGCCGCTGGTTGACTCCTCCTGGAGCTGCTTTCCGACTGCCTCCCTGCCCTGGTTCTATTTCTCAGTAGGCAACTGGTTCCTACTGGCAGGAAAACATGTGGGCTTTTCCATTCCCTCCAAGGAGGAAAGCAGCTCCAGGAGGAGTCAACCAGCGACTACAGGCGATGGCATTCTCGAGCGTCAGTTTTCAAAAAATGGTAGAGCAACGAGTTCTTTGTTTTCTCATATGAAAACCAACATACCAGCAGATGAAAGCAGAGTTGTTACACTTTTGGAAAGGGAATGAGAGAATTAGGTACATCTCTAATTAGCTTACAGCAATCCAATTTAGCAAACATTAAAAAAAAATACAGTATAACTACATGTATTTACTTATTTAGAAAAATTTAGACCCTGTTTTTTGCTGTGCTTTCCTTGACAGAACATTGGACTAGACACAGAGTAACAGGCAACAAGAATCGGATCCTATTCCTTGTTCTCCCTCTTTTAAACTAACAAGAAAAGTCATAAAAAAAAAAATTGAAGGTTGGAAAAGTTTCTAATTTTAGTTACAATATTAAAGGAAGCGAGCTATTTCTATTAAGTTGCTATTATTGAATAGTAATATTGATATAATATGCATTGCCATACCTCAATAAGGAAAAGTCACATGAATTTGAAAAGCTGTTCGTTTTATCTGTTAAAAGATAAGAATTTATTCTTACCAGCAGCCCTCTCTTTTTTAGGCAGGACATCACGCCCTCTTTTCCACAAGGGAACCGATTCCTCTGCAGTCATTCTGAGAGTCCCAGACTGGTAACTTTCTTCGTCAACAGGACTTCTTTGGGTGCAGTATAATGTCCCATTTTGCCGGGCAACTGTTTGAGTGCCATTTGAATGATTTATTTTTGCTAAAGTTTGGCACTCAGAAAAACAGTAAGACGGCAGAGGCGGCATCACAGTGACAAGGTCAGAACAAGCCTTCGAGAGGAGAGGACGACTTTCTTGACTCCACTGATTCAGACTGTTAGCTGTTGGAAGCATGTGTCTTAAATGAACACAGTTATGTGTCATGATGTTTTGAGAATTTTCAGGCATTACTGACTGACAATGAGATACTTGTATATTTTTACCAGTTAAATTATCTGAAGCAGATTTAGGAGGAGGATGAGGTATAACAGATTTACCCTGAGCTTGTGTAAATGCCTTGGCTTTGCTCCCAGGCTGTGCTGGAACGACAGAGCTTTTCCTGTTTGTGTATACAAAGGCTGATTGCGCTTTTGCAGGTCCTGTTCTTCTCATTACTTTTGCTCCACCTCTTTGTGGGTGACCTTTCTGGGTTTTAGAATCACCATTGCGCACAGGGATTTCACTTTCCTCTTTCTTCGAGGCTGGCCAGGCTTGCTTAGCAAAGCTAAAACCTGAAGGTAAGTAACAGTTCAAAGGCACAGGGTCTGTTTCAGGCCCTCCCAAAACAGTGACGTTTTCATAGGCAGACTCGTCCTTGGACTTCTTTCTGTCACCAGGGTTGACAGCACAAGCAGGAACACTCATCAAGTTGCTGCCAGTACCACTTTTAACATGGAATTGTTGAGGCCACTGTTGAGTTATTTCTGTCTTATTTTTCAGCGAATGACTGTCTTCAGCATGCTTTTCTATATTGCCAGTTTCATCAAACCACCTCAGTTTCTTAGTAGCCTTTGGGATGTCTGCACCTTTTTCTTTTTCCTTTGTTAATTCGATGCTATCTCTAATAGCTGCTGCTTTTTTATTTCCAAACTTAAAGTCTTGATTTATAATGAGTGCTTTAAGATAATCATGTTCATATTTAGAGTCTTTCTTTAAAATACTTTTAAGAAATCTCACTCCATTTCTCTCATGAATGTTGTATTTCATTTTCTTGTGCTGACCACCTAAGTCATAATTAGGAAATATATTAGACAACGATGCCGATGGGTCAACTAATTTTTGTTTTTCAGACTTTGCATCAGAATTACGAGGTATATAGGCAGCTAGAAAACTGTCTGAAAATAAAGGCAACTCTTCCGTACTACAATGAACATATTTTACCTTTTCATCTTTAATATCTTTCAATTCACCTAAATTATCAGAACACTGCACTGAGTCAATTTCTCTTATGTGTAGACTGTTCTTTGCTAAAGGTCTAGCTGACTGTGTATTAGAGGGCAAAATTAAAGGCGTTGCCACTGGTACACATGAAGTCGAAACTGAAGTCGTTCTATTTTCTTGAGTTAATTCAGAATATTCCTCTTGGTCTAAAAATGTAGCCACTTCCTGGGACAGAGAATCTGAAGAGCTCCCGGCTTTGCTGAATTCAAATGTTGGGCTCTCAGGAACTGATGGCCTCTCCCTTTTGAATTCTCTAGAAGCGGGGCCAGTTGTCCCCACAGTGCTAGCTTCAGAGGTCTTTTCACTCTTTGTATCTAGTGGAGATATGGGGGGATTACATACAAAGTCTGCTGGATTATTCGCAGTATTTGCAGCTCTTTCCACAGTCCTACTTGAAGTAGACAGATTTTGTTTGTTACTGTTTGAACATTCCCACGATGGCAGAACATCAGATGTACTTAAAATATCCGAGAAAGGTGTGGCAGCCTGAGTATTTGCAGCATCTATATTTGTAAGCCAATTATTTATATGTTGGGTTTTAGAGAATGCCAGTCTATCTTCATCAAAGCAGCTTGGATTCGTTGATTGTGGGTTTGCTGACTTGAGGGAAATGATATTCTGCTGCTGGATTGATGTGAAAGGCTCCTTATTCAGTGTTAAATATATTTCTTCCTGCTCTCTAGCCTCAAGACTGTCTATACTGGAGAGGGTTTCAGAATTGGTTATCTGATTAACTTCATCACAAAACTTCTGTAAAAAACAAGCATTGTTTTAGAGCTTAGAAAAGTTTAAATGGCAAAATCAATGACTCAACACATCACTGTTAATGAGCTCAACTCTCCTTGGCATACAAAATAGAGAAAAGACTATAAACAGTGCGGGTATAGAAGCAATCCTTATCCTACCACAATCCTCAGGGTAAAAAATAGGGAGGTAACAAAGTATGCTTGCTTTAATTTCAACTCCTAAAGGAAAGTCACAGTAATGTAGAAAATAATTTTATGTTGCTATTCTATTTAGAGCATGAAGTTTCTTGAAGGTTTCATCACAGCAAGTGAAAATCTGAAAAATAGTTATTTACAAACTGCATATCCACCCCCCCAAAACATTCAGGACCTGAATGAGGCTCCTAAAAGCTTTGTGATTCTAATATGAGCTTCCTGTTGGTATGGGCTACATCTTTTTTTTTTTTTTAAACTTTGATTTATTGTAGAGATGAGGGGTCGCCAAGTTGTGGGGGCTGGTTTCAGCCATCCACTTGCCTTGGCCTCCCAAAGTATTGGGACTATAGCTGAGCCACCGAGCCTGGCCTAAGGGCTACATCTTTTTATGAAAGTTAATTTTGTGGGGCAACCCCCTGGGGTCCCCTCCCACTCTGGGAGCTTTTCTGTCCTCTCCATAAATCCTACTTTAAAAAAAAATTAATTTTGTGGTCTGTAGTAAGGTTTTCAACCCTCTGCTTGTATGTTAGAGTCACATAAAGAACTGCGTAAAAATATCTATACTTGGGTCCTGCTGATTTAATACTTAAATGGGGTTCATATATTGGTATTATTATATAAATTTCCCAGATAATTCTAATACAGATTTAGGGTACAAAACTATTGACTTTAATAACTCATTTTTGGAAATTTAGCACAGTAATAATTTTCACCAATTCCATAAAAATTCTCATCACTATTTCACTGAAATTTCCATGGAATTTATCAGTCTTTAATAAAATTTCACAATCACTTCCAAGAATGATAAGTGTTTTAAAATATTTCTAATTTCTCACACATATCTAGAATGCATTAATCTGTATCACATATACAGAAATACATTTTCAAGAAGACAGTAAATTGTAAATCTAGTCAAAAGGTTAAATGGACTCAATGAAAGAAAACTAGGGCCGGGCTCAGTGGCTCAGCCTGTAATCCTAGCACTTTGGGAAGCTGAGGTGAGTGGATTGTCTGAGTCCGCGGGTTCGAGACTCGCCTGGGCAACTTGGTGAGACCTCATCTCTACAAGAAATCAAAAATTAGCTGGGCGTGGTAGTGTGCGCCTGTAGTTCCGGCTACTTGGAAGGCTGAGGCGGAAGGACTGACAGAGCCCAGTGGGTTGAGGCTGCGGTGGCTGGGAGTGGCCATTGCACTCCAGTCTGGGTGACAGAGTGAGACTCCAACTCAAAAAAAAAAAGAAAAGAAAACTAGTGTCCCTTAAGATTTAACACAAGTTTTAGAAAATTTAAATATTGTTATTAGAAACAAATACATATGGTATTAGATAAAAATACTTTCTTTTTCTGGCCCAGAAAGTAAACTAAGAAATCATGGAAATAAGTAACATAATAAAAATAGTTTCATTTGTACAGTTAGTTCTCATTGATACATTATTGTGAAATAATCTTGAAAACGATTAGTGGGAGTTTGGTGTTTCTAACATTTACCTCTGTTTATCACATCCTTTGGTACTCTTCTTAAAATGATGGCCACTCAACCCAGTCGGGAGCACAACACAAGATGTTCTTGACATCTGCTCTTGGAATTGAGCTAATTGATAATGATACGAAACCCAGGCCTGGAGGGCTTCCTTTGAGATAACATCTAATAAGACACAGCTGTCTGAGTCAGCAGGTCCTTCTGGATATGAGTATACTGTCCACGGCTCTAAGATTTCTGAATGCATAGGTCTGTGATTGCCTCATCTTCCAGACCACCTCAAAAGAAGTTTGGCAACTTCTGATTTCATAAACTAAACTTAAATTTTTTTTTTCCTACCACTAACAATGAAACATTATCATCAGCTTCAAGTTTTGTTTGCAAGTTACATTAGTGGTTGATCTTATCTTTGTTTCTCTGCATGTAACATATCTTTTTTCCTCTGACTTAATTTGGTTTTGATGTACCTTTGTGTGTGTGTTTATGTGCACACACTTATCCTTGGAGTTTGGTGAACTTCTTGGAACTGTGGATTAACAATTTATATCAAATCTGAAACATTTTCAGCCATGGTTTCTTTAAATATTTCCTCTTCCTCTTTGTGGGATTTTAATGACAAATATCGACTGTTTCATACTATCTCACAGATAACTATAACACTCTGTTTTTCTTTCAGTTTGGATAATTTCTATTGCTATATTTTTAAGTCCACTGAGCTTTTATTCCACAATGACTGTACCATTAAGCCCATCTAATAAAATTTTCATTTCAGATATTATGTTTTTCAGATCTAGGATGTCTATTTGGTTCTTTTAAAAACATCTTTCAATTCCTTGAAAATATTTATTAAGATTTCTTGTCTGTTGATCCCATCACCTCTGTTATTTCTGTCTGATTATACTATTTTTTCTGGGTATGGGTCATATTTTCCTGCATCTTTATATGTCTGGTAAGTTTTGACTGAATGGTGACTCTATGAGCATTAAGTTGTTGCATGTCTAGATCTCATAGTCTTCTTTAAGAGACTGTTAAGATTTTTTTTTTTTGGGTTGGAGTCTCACTCAGTCGCCCAGACCTGCTGGATTCTGGCAATCCTTTCCCCTCAGCCTTCCAAGTAGCTGGAACTACAGATGCACGCTACCACACCTGGCTAATTTTTTTGATTTTTATTGTAGAGATGAGGTCTTGCCAGGTTGCCCAGGCAGGTCTTGAACCCGCGGGCTCAGGCAATTCACCTTGGCCTCCCAAGGCGCGGGATTACAGGCTGAGCCACCGAGCCCAGCCTGTTAAGATTTTTTTGACGGGCAAGGTTACTTGCGGATTTTTCTGAGGCTTATCCAGAGAATAGGTCTAGGCAGAAAGCCTGGGTGATCATAAAGCTTACCTTACCTGTTTCCCTTTTCAAGATCATGTCCTCTATTGCCTGTTATCTAATGTCTAAAAACAGTTGTTTTATATATTTTCTTCCGAATGACAGCTGTCTAAAGCAGGAAGGTACATCACTGCCACAGCTGCAGGAATCTCCTGCTGTGCTGTCTGGGTCTTTCTTGCCCTCTTGGATGAGTTGGATGAATCAGGCTCAGGTGGTGAATTCAGTATTGATATTGGCCTATTAAAAATCTCATGGGTATGTGTAATTATTCATGAAAATCAAAGTGCACAGATATAGGAAAATTAGTCAAAATCTAATTTAATTTGTGGGAAAAAAAAAGTAAATACCCTATTAGGGATAGACTATAAATATCACTTTCAGCTAATTTCTGCCATTTTCCATTAGGAATCTAATATCCACACATATTATAATTTTTCAGGTTGATTTTTATGATACAATCTCTAACAATAATATTTATACTACATTGTACTTTTAAAGGTAAGGAAAAATACTCAAAAAAATTTCTACAGTATCTATGATGGATTGTGTTGATTCATCCATCTCTCTTTCATGGCCTACTCTTGGCTAAGGATTTGCATTTCTTTAGTGGAGAACACAGCAAAAATAGAGCAGAATTAATACTAGGAATTAAAATATTAATATTTACAGTTTCATACTTGCAAACTGCTTAGATGCTGATCTTCTAGAAGTTTCTGAGTTTCCTCCAGTTTAAGCTGGAACACATTTTTGTCAGTAGCCAAGTTCGCCTTGGGGTTTTCTTTCATTTCTTTATCACAATCGACTTTGGATGAGAGTTGCTTCTGATGCTTGTGATCCTTTTTAGACCATGCTGAAGGCAAGGCAGCATCTATAGCTCTGCAAACCAGACATTAAAAAGGTTTGGTACATTTAAATAAAGTTAACATCTTTTTATACATATATAAATAATACATTTGTATAATATGTGTGTGCTTGTCCAGATAACCACATATAAGGATATTGGAGAAACATATAGACAGATTAGAATGAGAATTTAAGGCAATCAAGAGCAGAATAAAAATGGATATGAGATTATAATGCCAATACAGAGCACCACCTTCATGCAGGAATGCCCGATTGTTCATGGCACTGATTATTACATCCTATTTCTCTACCATCTGGGATAAGGGTAGAAGTAATGCCCATAGACATGCAGAGCAAGTCTTCAGTCCTCTAAGAGCACTCCTGTTGAGTGATCATATGCTGCTTACCCCTTCTTTCTGAGTTAATGTCATGGCTGAGGTTATCCATAACCTTAATAGAGCTGGTTGAAGATTCAAGCAGATAGAAAATATGAAAACTGCTTGTCGGGATTGGCAGGAATTTCCTCCCTAAGTAAGTAGGCTTGGGAGCTTGGATCTCATTCAAAGGAGGAGAGTAAACACATTTGTTTTCAGTCGCTTCGAAAATATAAACAAGAATATTAGCATAGTTTTCATGCTACAGAAGGGGTACCTTTAATGTAGCATCTACTTTTAGTGTGCTGAAGAACCACCCACATTTATCAGCGCACGACATCATCTTCTATTACAATCTTGTATCTTCTGGAAGTCTACAGCATGTGATGTTTCAGCAGGAGGAGGATGGCACAGGGATGAGCATATCGTACGGCTGACGGCTTGCTGCACTGGGGCCGGTGGTGTGAATCCCAAGGGCGTCTTTTAAAATTTTTTTATTTTCTTGAATATTTTATTGGAATTATTTTGATTAAACCATATATGCTTACTTAAAACAAAATATAACAAGTTCTCTGTACTTGATGTGTCCCCAAATTTCTGGACAATTTCCCCCCTCCAAGGGCGCTTATTCCGAATTCAACCGAAAGTAATTTCCAACTCAACGGGGACAAAAAGCTCTGGAAGGTGACACATGGCCACACATGACATATGCCTGTCTCCAAGACGGACAGGCTGGAGTAGGCAGGGCCACGATTCCTAGATTCCTCACTATTCCTTTGCGATCCCAGCGAAATCCGGGCCAACGAGAAGGCGGGCGACACAAGCTCGCGAGCGCCGAGCGCTGGCTCCCGCGTCTCGCCTCCTCGCCGTCCCCCCCCAGCCGCGCTGCCACGCAGAATGCCGCGCAGTCTGCAAGCGGCCAGTGGACCCCGCCCGTGTCCCGTCGGGGCTGTCGCGCCTCAACGCCGCCTCTCGCCTCCACCTTCTTCTCGTTTCTTCCCCCGGGAGGCGGGCCCAAGGGACGGGAGGAGCGAAAGGGGCCGAGGACGCAGAAATCCAGGGAGGGCGGAGCG